AATGAACATAATCAATGTCACAGAATTGTACATGTAAAAAATGTTGAATTACAAACGTTTTATTGTATATATTTTTACCACATTTAAACAATTTTTTAAAACAAGGTATTGAACTGCATTTCACAACTCTGGTTCAATGTAAATGCTTATCAATGATTTATAGCAAATAAACCCAGTGCAGCTGGGAGTGGGGAAGTGATTTTAAAACAGCTCAGGTTAACAAAGCCTTCCACCAAAGGTAAAACTGGGAACACTGGGGGAACCTGATGGTCCTGGGAGACTAGAAGGCACCTGCCCCAGCAGGACACAGAGGGCAGCTGTGTTCAGACTTGTCCTATTCAGTGTCCCAGAAAACTGTCCCTTGTTCCAGTGAGAGCAGATTCTGTGAGCAGCCAGGAACAGTCTCCTGAAGGCCTTCCACTCCTTGAAATGCTGAAAAGCAGCATCACAGGTCCTTGTGGCTAAGCTGTCAGCGGCTAAATGTGTGCTCTTCACAGCTCATTTTCTTCTTCCGCTTGATCTTATGCCCGAGTCATCTTTTATTTATGTCCCCCTATAGCATTCCCATAGATGGGCTATGATGAACACCATTCATCTGGATGAGTGCCATAGAACTTAATGGGCTCAAATGGAACTCTTTGAAATCCCCGGGATGTGTCTGGATCTAGGAAAAGAACAATTGTTAACTGCAGGTTTTGAATGAGGAATTTCTGTCTTTCCCATAAATTGATCTGGTGAGGTTATTTGTGGATTCTAATAAGGACATGGCCTTCCTAAGCCCCCAACACCTCAGCAGCCCTCTGGCTCCCCTGGCCAGCTGATGTCCTCTGCCGGGTCCTGCGAGCCTCCAGGCCAGGGCCGCTGAGGATAGAATCCGCAGGCCAGCAAGCTGAAGAAGTGCCGGCTCCTTTCTTGCTCCCGTGGCTGTGTCTTGGCTCTTTCCTTCTGCCATCCATTCAGTATTTATGGAGCCCCTGCTTTTTCCAGGCAGAGTACGAAGCACTGGAGATGCCATGAACAGACAATCTGCTCTCATGGATTTACAACCCAAGCAAATAATTATTCAGGTACTTATTAAATGGCCACTGTAAGGAGAACAGGTGTCCCTGGGTGGCACAAACGGTTAAGTGCTGAGCTGATAACTGCAAGGTTGGAGGTTCAAATCCACCCAGAGATGCCTCAGAAGAAAGGCCTGGCAATCTGTTTCTGAAAAATCAGTCATTGAGAATCCTGTGGAGCCCGGTTCTACTCTGACGCACGCAGGGTCGGTATGAGTCGAAATCAACCTGATGGCAACTGGTTTGGCTTTTGCTAAAGAGAACTGTGGAGAAACGCAGGCAAGATGAGGGCTCTGTGGGAACCTCACTGTCTCCATTGTCCCTGTCCTCCTGTTACTGTAGGACTTTGGGTGACTAACTATGTAAGTGGCTGGCCTTTGGACACCTCAACTACACACACACACACACACACACACACACACACACACACACCACCAGCAGCACCACCTCTTGCTTCTGCCCTTGGGTGAAATCTTGACCTCAGTGGACACTGCGTCTGGTCCATGCCTGCCCTAGCTAGGGTTCCCGTGCCCGCTGCTCCTCTGCCCAGGCTCCCCCTCTATCCCTGTCACTCTGCTGCAGAGGGAGGCAGCCCAGTTACTGGGTCCTTCCGACCAAGGCTCAGGCCCTCTGGGGAGCTGACTGCCAGGCACACGTGTGGACTGTGAGGTGGGAAGAGGGCCATCAGGCCAGAGGCATCCTCATGGAAGTCTTCTTATACTTTTCTGATAATGAAAATAAAATGTGTACATTATTGTAAGATCCACCATTTCAAAAATGAATAAAGTAAAAGTTCAGTGTATCTCTGTCTTCCATTACACCTACCTCAGAAATAACCACTTTTAACACTTTGCTATGTATACTTCCAAATCTTTGGGGTTTATTTTTACGTTATGTTTATTTTTATATTGTCCTTTATATTCACCCACGTGTCCACCATCCATCAGTTTGTTGTACTGTGGTGGCTTGCATTTTGCTATGATGCTGAAAGCTATGCCACTGGTATTTCAAATACCAGCAGGGTCACCCATGATGGACAGGTTTCAGTGGAGCTTCCAGATCAAGACAGACTAGAAAGAAAGTTCTGGCAATCTACTTTCTAAGAATTAGCCAATGAAAACCCTGTGGATCACAAAAGAATACTTACTGTCCAATATAGTGCTGGAAGATGAACCCCCTAGGTTGGAAGGCACTCAAAATACACAGTAGCCACAAAGGTGGACTCAAACATATCAACAATCGTGAAGATGGTGCAGGACCCAGCAATGCTTCATTCTGTTGAACAGGAGGTCACCATAAGTCGGAGCCAACTTGACAGCAACTAACAACGACAATCTATGTTCATAGGGTCCCATAATCTATTTTTTGTCATTCGACAACTTATTGCAGACACTTTCCATAACAGTACATGCAGAACCCTCCTCAACCTTTCTAGGTGCCCAGGATTTCATTGCATAAGTGTACTATAACTTCTTTTGAAACCAATCCCTATTAATGAACTCTTAAGTTCTGCCATATTTTGACGTAATAAATCTTTCAGCAATGACTACCCCTATACATACATATCTTTGTGTCAAATTTTTCTTAGAAAGCATTTTGGCTAACATCATGCTTTTTTGTGATAAGTATATATATAACAAAACCTTTGCCGTTTCAACATTTTTGCACGTACAATTTAGTAATGTTAATTATGTTTATCGTGATTTTTTTATTGTTGTTGAAAGTGTCAACAATACTAATATATACATATACCAATCCAACAATTTCTACATGTACAATTCATTAACATTGATTACATTCTTCTAATAGATACATATACCAATTCAACAATTTCTACATGTACAATTCATTGACATCAATTACATTCTTCAAGTTGTGCAACCATTCTTATCCTCCTTTTCCAAATTGTTCCTCCTCCATTAACATGAACTCACTGTCCCCTAAGCTTCCTATCTAAACTTTTGAGTTACTGTTGTCAGTTTGATCCCATATAGATAGGTCTTCAAAAGAGCACAATGTTCAAGGCAAACAAGCTCTACTAAATAAGCTAACCTATTGTTTGGTTCAAAGAAGACTTCAGGGGATGTTTTTGGTTTAAGGTTTAAAGATTTTCTCAAGGCAACAGTTTCAGGGGTTCATTCAGCCTCAGTGTCTCCAGAAAGTCTAGTTTCCATGAGAATTACATCATGCATTTTTAAAGGGTATTTAATACATGATGAGGCGCTCTTAACCACCCCTCACTTAACCACAGAGCTGCACTCACCGACCGCTCCTCTCCGTTTGTAGCTGGTAGATTCCTCTCTGGGCACCTGTGCACCTCTGCTTCCAGGTAACTCACCTGAAGTGCTTGTTGTCAAATCTGTTTATTTCAGCTGATTTGTTATTATAATTGTGTAATTTATTTAATTAGCATATAAGCCAAAGAAGTATGAGTGGGAAAAGAGTTGTTTTTTTAAAAATGTTATATTGTTGTGATTCCCAACTTGAACTAAAATTTTTTAATAGCTATCCACCTACCTGGAGCCCTGATGGCACAGTAGTTAAGAGCTCAGGTTGTTAACCAAAAGGTCAACAGTTCAAATCCACCAGCCACTCGTTGGAAACCCTATGGGACAGTTCTCTTCTGTCCTATAGGGTCTCTATGAGTTGGAATCGACTCAATGGCAACGGGTGTGGTTTTTTGTTTGGTTTTTTTGGTATCCACCTACCCAAGTCCTGTCAGATACAGTGGCTTCTAATGTCTCATAAACTCCATCAACAGTGTTTATATGCATTTTAAATCTGCCTTGCCAAGATTGTCTCTGGAAGAACATCTCAGAGTTATTTGGTTTGTTTGCAAATTGGGTTATTTTTTCTCCTTATAAATGCTTAAGAACCTGGTGTGTCTTATCTAGGATATCCAATGTACAGGTAGTCCCCCACTTAAGACGTATTCAAGTTATGATGAACCGAACTTATAACCGTCTGTTTTAGGATTTTTTTTTTTTTTTGTACATCTTATTGTTAGTAATATGTACTACATACAGTGATGCAGTGTGGAATTTGCTGATGTTATCATTCTCAGATGTTTACTTGGCGGTTTTCAATGTTATGATTTATAAAGATACTGATAATAAAAGGCAATAATAAAAAAAGAGGTATTCAACTTTACATCAGAACCGACTTACGACGGAGTCATTGGAACAGAGCCCTGTCGTAAGTCAGGGACTACCTGTAGTTTGCTTTGGTAAAAGTTGATTTATAGACTTTCTATTCACAGGCACCAAGAGATTTTAAGCTTTTGTAATGCTGACAGAGATACTATGTTCAACCGCATACAGTAGAAATAGAAAATCTGGAAATCTTGACTTTAAAAGTGAGAGAAGATCCATATACAAATACCCTGTCACTGTCTAACTTAAAACAACAGTAAAAGTGATTTTACAGCCCCTTCAAATTTTGCAGACCCTTTGTAAAACTGTTTGTCCAACATATGGCTACACAGAGAAACACATTTCTACAAGGCTGACAGTACAGGTATCTCTGATTAAGTCAAAATTAGTTAAGAATTAAGTCATACCGAATTCATTCAATAAATATTTATTAGGTACCAGCTGTATACCTACCAGTTCGCTGGTAGCTGCAGGGGCTGCCACAGAGCACAGTGGGTGGCACTGCTCTCAGGATGCTTGTGATCTGGCTAATGCCTTTGGGCCTGTGGGAAAGTACAGAATGGCAGCCTACTCAACACTGAAGTGGTCTGGCCATTTGTGTGCCTGGCCAGTGCACCAGGATGTTGTAAGGCAAGAAGAAAGTTTTCTCATGAAACCTGTGAATTCTCTAAGGTGTATTCTTCCAGGCTCACCCATTTAACTTAAGTATCATTTCTACTTAGACTGTATGGCATTTGACAAAGCACCACAGATACTACGAGGCATCTCACTGCTGTGTTTTCTCTTCCAGGATATCAATGAGTGTATCCTTGAGAACTACCCTGAGTGCTCCAACCCCAGGTTATTTTACATCATTCCGTATTTTTGTGGACAGCATCCCAGATGCAGGTAAAGACTCAAACAGGCTATGGCATGCTAATGGGCACAACAGTCGCAGACGTCCTGCCAGACTGGTGCTCTCTGTGATGCTCTTGTAGCCCTAGTCTCTGAAACTTCTGGAATTCAGTTACTATTTACTGTCTCTCCGTAAAAATATTATTTGAGACTCTGAATGACCTGTAAGTAATGAAATCAACAAGTCATGGGTCTGATAGAGGCCCCAGGAAATGCCATGTAAAGCCACCAAACCTCTTCTTTAGACTTCAAACCTAGCTGTCATTACTCAGCCCAAGAGATAACAAAGGCAGGGGTCAAACCCCCAGTCTGCTCTCCACAGCAGTGAACTCAGCAAACAACTGTCCCTGTCCTTGCAGTGTGTGTAATCAGGTTTGAGCACTTGAAGCTCACACCCAGACTTTGCTAAGGTCTCTCTAATGACACTTCCTTAGAATGAGAAGAAAGCCATTTCTCGTGATCACTCAGATGCAAGACGTTCTTTAGAAAGTTCCTTACAGGATTGCGCAGGACCTCAGAGAGGATGCTGTGGTCTGCGCACCTTCTGCCTCAGCATCCCTGGGGTACTTACTTGATCCCACCACCACCACCACCATCCACCCCCTGTTGCAGTTGAGTCGATCCTGACTCATAGCGACCCTATACAACAGAGTAGAACTGCCCCATAGGGGCAAAGGGTTTGGTTTGGTTTTGGAGTCCAGGTGCAGTGCTTGGGATACTGGGAGGATTTGGGTGACTAATTTTCTGATCACAATGAAGATATTTATTCCAAGAAGCATGATTCCAACCCCCTAACATATTCTTTAAATTGTATATTGCCTAATCTTGGGGAGAGTACTCATAACGCCTTACACTGTCAAAATGTCACTTTCTTCAACCTTTACAACAATTCTTTGAGCTAGGTAACAGTTATTATTATTACCACTTTTCAAAAGAGGCCTCTGGCTTGCCCATATTCTCTGAAATAGTAAACGCCAGGCCTGGCCTGCTCTCATTCATCTAAATGCTACTGGCTCAGAAATCTGCCCTACAAATGGGGTTAGGATATATCCCTCTTGTAATTACAAAAAAAAGAGACAGAGATTTGTCTTTTAAACTCTTTAAAGAATAAGATGATTGGCAGACATGAGCTGACATCTCTTTTGATTTCTACAGAAACAATATGTCTATGCATTTTATATTTCAAACCTTTGAACCTCATGTAATTGCTTTGGTTTGGTCCTCTTACTAAAAACCCATTCTATCACCTTGATCAGTGTGTTTATTAGGACCTGACTTGCCTATGCCTCTGTTCTTCTTTCAACAAATATTTAGGAAGGGCCCACTAAGTCCAAGGCCCTGGGCTGGGCTTTATGCCCAGTTGAAAGGGATCAAGGCCTGGAGGGAGCTACTGTCCAACTGTGGCAGGAAGGTGAGGAGGCCAGGGACACCCAACTGGAAGGATCAGGGAAGGCTGTGGAGGAGGCTGGTCCTTGAAGGAAGCAGGATTTGAAGTTATGCATATGGGGAGGGGGAGGTTAGAAGGGTTAAACTGTCAGCATGTTGTTGCTGCATTTCAAAAATGAACCGTTGATTTAAAAACGATTTTTATATCCACAAAGGGAGCCTGGTGAGTGGGCCCTTGAAAGAGCAAAACTGAACGTGAATGAAAACTTCCTGCTTGTGGGGATTCTTGAAGAGTTGGAAGATGTGCTGCTTTTACTGGAAAGATTTTTACCTCATTACTTCAAGGGTGTGCTCAGTATCTACAAAAACCCAGGTAACTCCATTCGTAAGCAAACTCTTCCCAGTGAGAGGTCTCTTGCGGGGTTGCTCACCTTGAGAAGGACTCAGGAAATCAAGGAGTGGCATTATCTCTTCTGTTAATAAAGGCAAGTCTGCCTGGCTTGCAAAGGAAGCTTAGGACCACAAGGTATGGATTGCAAAACCTGGATGGAGCTTCAGGTCCAAGCATAAACTCACCACGTTTTAAAGGCTTGATGGTTCCTTGTCTCCCTTTGGAAACTGAAACCTGCAACATTCTCCACTGATCTTGTCCCGAGCATGCTGCTGGGGTGGACAAACGAATAAGCATGTGCACACCTGGGGCCTTTGATAGAAAGGTGTGTGAGTATGATGGTACCATCTTTGTGATGAAGTACCTTTGGCCCTACTTCCATTTGACAAAAGCACTCTGGCGTGTAAAATCCTAGCAATAGAGTAGATGGAGCAGCAAATTGAAAACACAATTATGATTTTAGTCTAACAAATTGAGTGGTTTCCAAATTGAAGCAAGAAATGGAATGCAGCAAAGCAATTATGAGAGTTGCCCATAGTGTCATTATAAATATAATTACTTTCAGAAATCCGTCATTTATTTTTCCCATTATTTTTTTTTTTTTATCCTGGGCGAAAGACAACACTGTATGTTTCTTTTCTATTCTCCTTAATCTACTGCTGCCACAACAGGCTTTGCGTACTTCTTCATTAATCTGTCTACTGTTTTGTTTGGCAGTCCTGAAATGGGAGATAGCTTTCTGGCTTATAGAAATAAGAAGCAGATGAAATTTTCCCCCAAATGCAGCCTCATGCTTCACATTCCACAGCGAAGCAGGGCCCTTGGACCACACCTGCATCATTGGCAGGTACCAAGACCGAGTGAACAGGATCCTCCCTGGAACTCGTTAACATAAGGTGGCCTTCCCACCATTAGTGAGGAGCTCTGGTGACACAGTGGTTAAGAGCCAGGCTACCAACTGAAAGGTCGGCGGTTTGAACCCACCAGCCGCTCCACGGGAGGAAAGATGTGGCATTCCGCTTCTGTAAAGATCACAGCCTCGGAAACCCTATAGGGCAGTTCTGCTGTGTCTTATAGGGTCGCTATGAGTCAGAATCGACTAGATGGCACACAAAAGCAACAGCAACAGAGGAAAATGGCCAGGTGGTGGGCACTGCCTTACTCTCCCAACTCTCTCATTCCGAGATAAATTACAACTCACCAATATGTAGGAACATGACTGAAAACCTCAAGATGTGCCCTGCAGGTGTGTCCACTCAACAGGAAATGTGGTTTGAATATTTAGAAACATAATAACCTTTAAATAGTTGGGTTTTGAAACCAGGCCTTCCTTTGCCCTTTAAACCAGAATTTAAAGAGCCCAGCTGTGGCCACTTCTTAGCTCTATAGGGCAACATAAACTCTGCTCTTTTTGCAAGGAGTGATCTTAGCCTAAATTAGACTCCTTTGAAGAAAAAGGTTTACTTTATTCATTGTTATTTCTCCCTTTGGAGAAATCTTATTATATAGCATGCCTGTGTGTATATGGATGACAAATAAAATGAGCACATTCTTGTCCCAGCATTTGGGAAGAGTATCAATGAGTCAGGAGTCCCTAGGTGGTGCTAATGGTGAAGCGCTTAGCTGCTAACTGAAAGGTTGGATGTTCGAGTCCACCCAGAGGTGCCTCAGATGAAAGGCCTGGTGATCTACTTCCAAAAAATCAGCCACTAAGAACCCTGTGGAGCACAGTTCTACTCTGCACATGTAGCATAGCCAGGAGTCAGAATCTACTCTAAGGCAACTGGTTTATCAAAGAATCAGCATTAGACTCCTCCTCCACATTGCATCATTATCTATCCCAGGATATGGAATTAATGTCAATCACAAGATGTCAACCAGCATACCAGATGTCAACCTCAAGTGGGTATGGACCTGATAACTTAAATGAGTTTTTTTTTTTTTTTTTAATTGCGGTAAAATACATTTAACATAAAATTTACAATTTTAAACATTTTAAAAAGTACAAATCAGTGGCCTATATTACATTCACAATGTTGTACACCCATCACCACTATCTGGCTCCTGAACGTTTCCATCACCCCGGAAAGAAACCCTGGACCCATTAAGCAGTCGCTCTGGATGCCCCCCCTCCCCAGTTTCTGGCAAGCGCTAATCTGCTAACTGCTGACTTCTCAATGTATGTTAGTCTCTGCAAAAACTAAGCCCCTGTATTTTCTCATGGCCACAGATCAGTGCATTAGTGTCAAATCGGCTAAAAGAAGCTACCAGTCACTTTAGTCATCTCGCACCATAGCCCCCCCGTGCCCATTTTTTAGTCTAAGTTCACGTTTTATGCCACTCTTAAATCATTGCTCTTGCCTTTTACAAAAGAGTTTTATAGGTGAGCAGACTGGAGAACAGAGGGAAGAAAACCTAAAATCTAAGTTACTGAGGGATTGAGTGACCGACCTTTAGGTTATTGTAACTTAACTGACTGTCCGGGGAGATGGAATAAGATATAAACACTCCACTGGCCATTTCCCCTTGGTGCTTGTCTTGTTATTTAAAAAATGCAGGTGTGAGCCGATTTTAGCAATTTCTCTCCAGAAATCCTATAAATATCTATACCAGTCTCATTACTGAAGATAAAAGCACTAATAGAAATGACTGTTTGGGGGAGTTAGTAAAAATAGTCGTATCTGTTGGCCAAATGGGTTTTCGGTTATTCTAGATTGGAATGACATTCATTAATTCTTTCAAGTCAGTACTACTACTTACAATAAATCTGCCACTTAGAGAAGTTAATAACTTTTTTAAAATAACAGTGTGGCTGTTGGTCTCCCCTGTTCATTTCTTGCAGGAAGTCATTCATGCTGACATCAAGAAAATTTGTCTCCTTTCAAAATATTTGGGAAACTTAGCTTTAAGAAATTTATGTTTAAAAAACCAACAACTAAGAGTTGCTTTATATTAATGTTTGCATTCTGGGGAGATTGAGCTAGCATATCTCAGAAGAGGTTTATGATAGCAGATAGTCAACACCAAAAAAAACAAACCCATTGCTGTCAAGCTGATTCCGACTCATAGTGACCCTATAGGACAGAGCAGAACTGCCCCATGGGGTTTCCAAGGAGCGGCTGGTGCGTTCGAACTGCCGACCTTTCGGTTAGCAGCTGAGCTCTTAACCATTGTTACAAATTAAAGTTTTAGTATCATGGATAACCAAGAGGATGTCCTAAGGTATTTCTCACCAGCCAGTGGGCGCTTGCTGATGCTGAGGCAAGTGCCTTAGAGTGAGAGCACTCAGTCAGCTCTGCCCAACCTTGGGTTTGAGTTTGAAGGAGGGAGAACCAAGGCCAAACATACTATCCGGGGCAAGTGCCGCCTCACTGGTTTAACATACACAGTTTTATTTTTTACTTATTAATCTCTGTTACATTTGCTCATTTCTTATTTCCTTTTAAAAATGAGAAACTGACCCCAGCCCAGAAAGGTTAAGAGACTGATCCATAGTCATCCACCAAAATGTGGAAAAAAAGGAGCAGGAGTCATGTGTTTCTGATCAGGAATTATTCGTTAATACTTTTTCTCCATAGCTCTTAAAAACTGACGTGCTATGAGCTATCAATATTTTTCTTGGTCATAATTTCTTTAGCAGCTAAAATCATAGTCAAGGCCAAAATAAATAAGCAAATTAACTAAAAGCAGGGAACTTGTGAATATCTGTGATAGGAACTACCCTTATTTGAACATCCCACGTCTAAACCCTTAACTTGGCGAATAGCCAAGCTGTTCTAGCTTCATAGCACCACCTAGCATCCAGGCATGGAACTACACAACCTCATATTAACCTCGTTACCTTTTCCGTCCTGGGCACTTGAAAACGAGTATGCTCTCACTCAATCCTTTTCCTCGTATTTTAAGTGCTTTCAGTTACTAGCATGACATTAGTATTCATTTTCAACTTGTCTCTATTACAAATGTAAACACCAGAGCCACATTAGGGTATTTACTAGACTTTTGTGGGCTGCCCTGAGAATTTGGTCACCAAGGACTGTGAAGAAAAAATGTGCAACCAATTCCAAACAACTGATTCACATACTAATTTGGGAGATTTAAATTCATTCATAAACTGGGTGCTTTGCTTAAAAAAAAAAATTACTTTCGCTTAAATGCTTTTGTAAACAATGATGATAAATAGAGCACTAATGTAAATATTGTTTTACTGTTACTATGCATGAATGATAATTATACTTCCCATTTGGAGTATAGTAGTGTATTCTCTGAGTTCAAGTTTTTTGCAGCATTCAAGTCTGGGGACATTTACATAGAAACAGTAGCAAATATGTAGAAGAGATCATTTTAAATATTATGCTACAAGAAAAATTCAAGTTTTCATCCCATCTACGGATAAAATATCGGACTGAGTTAAAATATATACCAAATGATTAAAGCTTGGCATATTTTTAATAAACAACAGTCGTTCTTTAAGGAAAGGACACTGAATTGGGAGTTAGGAGGGGCTTCTAGTCCTTTCTCGGCCATGGTTTTACCCATGTGATCTGGGGCATGGATGATCTCTAAGGTTTCCCTCTTTTAGCCCTAAAGTTCTCTTTATTATTTTATGATACTAATGTATCATGTAGAATGTTTTAAGGCTGCTCCTTCTGTCTTTTGTTGGATAGCGCAGTTATGGGGTGATGTTTTCCTCCCAAAAGTAATCCTTGTACAATCCCCATTGCCTTAGTAATTTCTCGGCTTTAGTTATGGAGACTATCGCCCCCTAGGGGACACAACAGAATCCTGGGTGGAGATTATTCGTTCAGAAATTATTCTTCCCTACAGTTGTGAGTGTTGAAGTGATCAAGCCAGATACCCAACTTAATTCAAACTCTTTGGTCACGATTTCCATCCCTTTCTCTCCATACCATATGCATTTCTGTGAGAAGACAGTAGATCATAAGGATTAGATCAGTCTCTGGAGTAGACAGTGTGGGTTT